GGGGGGGGGGCAACCCGACATGTCCACAACAGTTTGGACGTAAATAAAGCGCTTTGCAAAAATATGTCCAATAATGATTTGGACGTAAATTAACACCTGCGGTTGTTACGTCCACAGTGTGGATGTACTAACGATCCGTGTAAGGCTGGCAAAAATAACTCCCTCTGTGATTTACATATCCTCATGAATGACAAAAGGAACCAAAGAGTAAACGCGTGCGTGTATGTCTGTTTTTCCTCTGCATTGATAAACTAAGTTATCAACTGTTCAACACTTTTGAAGTGTGCAACAGAGTTGTTCTGCTCTTGCAAGTGCAGCGCGCGACATGAGCGGCAATATGCACTGAGCCCAAACCGGGAATGTACCCTACGGTAACTCTATGAAAATATTATGACTTTATCAAGGGTGGGAATGTCCTACGCTTAGAGCGTAGTCCTAGAGTTTCTGAGTAGGACCAGCTTGATCTACACTCGGATATGTAGAACTTTTGCCCCACTCTTGCAACTGTCGTACTGTTCGATTTTCAGAGTAATCACTCTCGAGCAGAACGTCATCCGTGTGCATGTAAATGAGAAAAGACAAATGACAACAGATTTTGTGGAGCTATTTTCTCCAGCCCCGCACGGCTCGTAAGTACATACACACTGTGGACCTAACAAACGCATCTATTAATTTACGTCCAAATCATTGGATGTAAACCTCTGGACGTGTTTTCATTTCGCTCACATTCTGTGGACGGATTTACTGTGGACGTGACGGTCCCGCCCAGTCCTGGAGCCAGTCCTTCACCAAAATAGGACTGCAGTCCTGCTGTCAGTCCTTGGCAGTCCTTCTGTTCTACAAGGGGTGCGGTTAGCAGAATACGAGTTCTCACCTTCTCGTGAACGAAACCAGTTAAAATCTCTTCAAACGATGCTGGTCGCTTGGTTAGAATTTTTTTTATTCATAATTTGATCAATACAAATACCTTCTCATATTGTTGTGATTTGCCTGGCCGCTGACCCAGGCGTTTCACAGCCATAGGCATGTCGGGTGCTGAGCCATGGCGAGCAGAGTCCCACCGATGCATCGCGTCCCTCTCTTCTGCAGCGCATTCCTCAGGTGGTTGGTTCGTAGTTCCCTGTTGTTCTAACGTTCAGTGTTTAGTTAAAATTCCGAATTCTTGTATCAGACGATGGCTGAAAACAAGGCTTACACTGTGTGTAAATTTGTAGGCGGGGAATCATCGCGTGGGGGATGATTTGGTTCAAATTGGGCACAGTGACTTGTTGAGCTCCACTAACAAGGAGAAGTGTATAGCCAAAATAATTAAGTCTAAAAACCAGTGCAGTTGAAGTGGCCCACTAACTATAATCGGGAAGCAAAGAAGGCTTGGTCCAGGCGAAAGGACGTAACGTGGAATAAAAACGCTGTAGCCGTTCTTCACCACGAAACCGATGGTGAGTATAGGTTATCTCCGACACTTCTTTACAAGTACATGTTGCATAGAACGATCTATTTTGTCTACTACAGAAGGCCCCCACATCTTTTGTTGCTAAAATATCTCTTCGGCTAAGTTTTTTGTGGTTTTCGGTAAAATGTGCACGGTTTTAGTGAAACTAATAATGAAACACTGTTTCTTATTTCAGACTGGCCGGATGCAGCAGCTGCTCGAGAACGAGTAATTATACATGGTAAGGCCGTTATTAGCAAATCAGGGAGAAAGGCATTTGCTAAGAGGCAAGCACCCAACAATGAATTGCGGGTTCACATGTGCAAGTACCTTCATTAATACGAAACTTTATGATCTTGCGCAGAAGACGGAGCCAGTTATGAAGAAGAAGATAAACATTTGCAGCAAATCAATTAAGCCTCAGTCGATGGAAGAGAAGTTGAAATGCTAAACTCTTGTGGAATTATTTGCACTTTATACGTTAACAATTTGTCTTAAACTTTGCATTCTGTGGTGCAACATTCATCGAATAATATAGATGGCTATTCATCTAAGGATTCAGAAGACAGCATTCCTGTTGGGACTTTAATTAAAAGCCATCCCTCTAAATCAACTGTAAAGAAGTTTGATGAACCTCAATTATCGGTAATATTCTACAGATTTATCTCTGTCAATCTCAATGTAGTACTGCACTGGTTACAATCGGCCCCTTCATTTTTGTAGTCTGATGACTCCCTGATCAATGAGGATTCTGGAAAAATGACAGGTCCGCGGAAGTCTGAAAATACATATTTGTAATCTGAGAAGATCAAGCGCCTCAGAAAAGAGAATGAAGCGTTGAGAAGAACGAATCAAGAAACTAAGCACATTCGTGCTGAGAATGATGTGCTGAAGGCAGCAAAATCTTTGTTTGCCATAATTCTTACAGACTTTCCCAAGCTTGTTGATCAGGCGAAGAAGTTGATTGCCATTTGTAGGCAGGCTGAGGAAAGACTCAAACCGATGACCGTTAACAGTGAAATTGACTTGTTTGTTGAATCGTCACGTGCCAACGTAAGTTCATTTTAAAGATGGGAGCCTCGTAGCATTTCCATCTGTGAGTGCTGCTGGACATTTCTTAAGCCCTCCAATAACATATGTCCTACACTTACAAGTGCACGCCGGGGGTACAGAACTTCCAGGCGGGCCTGAAGGAAAAATTGTTTGAGGCCCCTCAGTTGGCGAAGGTCGACCGAGGGAGTGAACTGGAAGTTGTGTCTGAGTGGCTTAAGCTTTACGCGGCTGGTACAGCCGTAGTGGTGACACCTGGTGCGAGAGATTTTGTCGAGCATTATGAGAGCCTGGTGGGTGCAGACAGGAAGGCTTATAATCACAAAGATAGTGATTTGTGGGCTAACGTGAAGTCGTACCCAGAGTGTTTTGTTTCTGAGCTCAAGAAAGAATTTATTGAAATTGACCTCGATTCGCTTGAGAAAGGAATAAAGGAACATGACCTAAAGGCGATCTTGTTGGTTTTGACTAGTATAGCGCGTTGTATGAGACTGTGGGAGAGAAGTTGACATTGCGTAAGGGCGCACAAGAGCTTTTATTAAGGATGACAAAGAGCAAGAAGAAGTTTTATTTGCATTTGACAAATGGTATGGTTGTCGACGGATATGTGACTAGTGAGTTATTGTCTCTTAGGTTGGTAGAAAGAACGTCTGTCAGCTTGGGTTTCTTGCATGTCTACAATCCTCGACTGCTCAGCAAGGATCTGGAGGTGATGAATAAAGATGAGAAGGTAGTTTTGGATGACCCAGTTAAAGAAAATGAAGATGAGGAAGAGGAGGAAAAAAGTGAACACTGCTGCGTGTTCCTTAAAGATCAAGGTACAAATGGCAATTTTTGTTATTTTTCTACCGTTAATATTAGCAAACCCACAATGAAAAGAAGACAGCGCTGCAGAGAGCGCCGAAAAACAGATAGGCTAGTCTTTCGGGGCAGCGAAACAGATAGGCTAGTCTTTCGGGGCAGCGAAACAGATAGGATATTGTTGCACGGACGCGTCGATATTGTTGATACAGCAGTGTACATCTCCGTTCAGTCTAATCTCTTTCAATTTCTTTCTCAGGACTTTGTCTGGATTGGGGACAAGAAGATTGAAAGATCTCGCCTGGCTCAGATCAAGCATACAAAAGATACATTGTTAGCCACTGGCATAACATCTACTATATTTTCTGACATTAACTTGCCTTGTGTAACCTGAAGGGAAAAAGGAACAACAAGCACAAGTCAGAACTAAGAAAACAGAAAGTGAACCCACAAACAGTGGAAGATATAAGAAGTATGTATCCTCTTGATGTAAGCCTTTAATTTCTCAAGTGAT